TAGTAGTAGTTAGGAGTAGTACGCAGTTAGTAGTAGTAGTAGTAGTAGTAAGTAGTAGTAGTAGTAGTAGTGGTAGTAGTAGTGGTAGTAGTAGTGGTAGTAGTAGTAGTAGTCGTAGTAGTAGTAGTAGTAGTAGTAGTAGTAGTCGTAGTCGTAGTAGTAGTAGTAGTAGTAGTAGTAGTAGTAGTAGTAGTAGTAGTAGTAGTAGTAGTTAGAAGTAGTAGTAGTAGTAGTAGTAGTAGTAACAATACTAATGATACTACTACTATTACACATAGTACTAGTATTACGAACACTACTACTACTACTACTACTACTGCTGCTACTACTACTACTAATAATAATACTCCTACTAGTCAGACTAATAACACTAGTACGAACAACAATACACATACTACTGATACTAATAATACTACCACTACCACTAACACTAACACCAGCACTACTAATACTAGGAATAATACAAACTAATAATAATACTCGTAGTCATACTCATAATCCTAATCATACTAATAATAAAGAATAATACGAGTATTAATACTACAACTAGCACTAGTCATAGTAGTACTACTAATAACGATAATAATCATAGAGTAATGATAATACGAAGAATACTAATACTACGAATATAAAAAAGAAGAAGACGAATGAGTAGGGGGGATGGGGCAGGATAGAAGAGGAGCAGGAGCAGAAGCAGGATCAGGAGGAAGAGGAGGAGGAAGAGGACGAAGAGGAGAAGGGGATGCGGGAGGGGGAGGAGGAGGAAGAGGAGAAGGAGGACGAGGAGGAGGAGGAGGAGGGCGAGCAGGAGGAGGATAAGTAGGAGAAGCAGAAGGAGGATGAGGAGGAGGAGGGAGGAGGAAGAGGAGGGGAAAGAGGGGAAGGAGGGGGAGGAGACAGGATGAGGAGAAGGAGGAGGGGAAGATGAGGAGGAGGCGGAGGTGAGGATGAGAGGATGAGGATGAGGATGATGATGATGATGATGATGATGGATGATGGAGGAGGAGGAGGAGGAGGAGGAGGAGGAGGAGGAGGAGAGGAGGAGGAGGAGGGGAAGATTGGGGAGGAGCAGGAGGAGAAGCAGAATGAGGAGAAAGAGAGGAGGAGGAGGAGGAGGAGGAGGAGGAGGAGGGGAGGGGTTATGGGGGGGATGGGGAGGAAGGAGGAGCAGTAGCACGAGGAGGAGGACAAGGAGGAGGAGGACGAGGAGGAGGAGGACGAGGAGGAGGAAGGAGGAGGACGAGGAGGAGGAGGGGAGGGTGAGGGGGAGGAGGGAGGAGAAGCAGGAGGAGGAGGCGGAGGAGGAGGAGGAGGAGGGAGGAGGCGGAGGAGGAGGCGGAGGGGGGGGGAGGAGGAGGAGGAAGGAGGAGGAGGAGGAGGAGGAGGGAGGAGGAGGAGGAGGAGGAGAGAACGAGGAGGAGGACGAGGAGGAGGAAGATGAGGAGGAGGAGAAGGCGGAGGAGGAGGAGGGGGAGGAGGGAGGAGGGAGAGGAGGAGGAGGAAGAGCAGGAGGAGGAGGAGCAGAGGAGGAGGAGGAGAAGGCGGAGGAGGAGGAGGAGGAGGAGGAGGAGGAGGCGGAGGAGGGAGGAGGAGGGAGGAGGAGGAGGAGGAGGAGGAGGAGGAGGAGAGAAGAGGAGAGCAGAAGCAGGAGGAGAAGCAGGAGGAGAAGCAGGAGGAGGAGGAGGGGAAGGGGGGAAGGAGGGAAGGGAGGAGGAGGAGGAGGAGGAGGAGGAGGAGGAGGAGGAGAAGAGGAGGAGGAAGAGGAGGAGGAAAGAGAGGGGGAGGGAGGAGGAGGAGGAGGAGGAGGAGGAGGAGGAGGAGGAGGAGGAGGAGGAGGAGTGCGCGGCTGAAAGAGGGGGCGGACGAAGCGAGCCGCCCAAGGGGACGGGCCACTCACCAAAGCAGAGACACGACAATGAGAACATGCCGCGAAGAGGGCGCCTGAGGGTACAGCGAAGGCTGACGAAGCGACCTGCCTGGCCACGGCGAGCCTCGGCGGCGAGCCGGCTCCCTGGACCCAGATCCGCAAGGGATGGCCCGAAGACCAGCGCCCGCGCCGAGCCCAGAGAGAGCCCCTGCTTCGACGTGTTGATCGTGTTGGCATGAACCAAGCGGGCCTTGGGGGAGCCATGGTTCCCCCAAGACCTGCAGGTCCTGGACCCCGGGACCTTCCCCCCAGGACCAGCTTCTCGTGCTAGGTCCAGCCTGGCGACGTGCGACGTGCTAGGGAGCGGGCCCCGTTGAACGGCCAGCATTCGCACGTCGTCATGACAGGCCCCTGATGTGCTATGCTCAGATCCTTCAAGTTGTTTTTGGCGTATGCCTACCCATTTGACCTGCGAAGCCAGACCCTGCGCTACGAACCACGAGCCAGTCTCTGCCGCATCCAGGGAGAACTCCACATGGGTATCCTGCAGTTGGAATGATCTGCTGTGTGCGGGAAAAACTGACAATCCAAGGGCCCGTAGAAAGCCCAGGGAAGCCAACCCAACCTATAGAGACCCGCTTAAAAGGGACAAGACCTCAGAACCCGTTTCATTGGAGGCCGCACAAAAGAGGTGCGCGTAGCTGGGGTCGGAGGATCGCGCCGCATCGCCGATGCACCAGCGACGCCGGAATTGAGAAAATCACGGTCCGAACCGAGCCCTGTCGCCGATACATCAGTGATACGGCGCGATCCACCGACCCCATACTCGTCGACCCCATTTTGGTGGCCCAGATTCCCTAAGGACGCGCTCCCAAACATCCGATGTCTTGATTTTTTCAATGTCCCGATCCTTTTCACCTGGGCTGCCTTTTCCAGAATCGCTGTCGGACGGTCCTGCGGCCCGGCGAAAGCCGCTGGGGACCGAAAACTGCCAAAAACCGTCCATCGTGTTTTTTCCGCGACGCGAGCACGTCTGGGGCAATGCGAAGGGGTCGTGACGCGAGCATGTCTGGGGCAATCACAAGGGGAATCACCTCTTTCTCGAGGACGCACCACTTTCTCGAGGAAGTGGGGCCCCCAAGAACACCCCAGGGCCTTCCACAACGACCCAGACCGTCGAAACCACTTTTTCCGTCGGCGGCGAGGCAGAGGCTGTCCGCACCAGCGTGAGGCTCATCGGGGCAACCGCAAGTCGAATCGTCCGGCGTGCAAGGGGAAGGACAGGAGACGAAGGCGGCCGCGCGAGGGGAGGAGGAGGGACGCGCTCCGACGTGGCAGAGTGCCGCGAGGAGCAGGCCAGAGCGGCCAGACGGAACGCCGAGAACGTATCCGAACTTCCGCCCTGGAACTTCGACCTCGCCCCCCAAACTGGCGACCACCCTCGTGGCGGCCGCCCATTGGGTGGCGACATCCGCGCCCTACCCCCGCCAACCATCCATTCTCCTGCCTCGACGGGAGGCGGCTTCGGATCCCGCAGCGTGCTCGACGAACTCCGAAACCTACCCCCGCCGCCCACATCGAGCGGCCCGAATCGTTGACCGGCGAGGCTGGGGTTCGGGCCGCCGACCCCCTGGCAGTGCCCGAACCCAGGCCCCCGACGTCGTGATTTACACACAACGTCGACATCCTCCTCCTCCTCCTCCTCCTCTCCTCCTTCCTCCTCCTACTCCACCTCCTCCTCCTCCTCCTCAACCTCCTCCTCCTCCTCCTCCTCAACCTATCCTCCTCCTCCTCCTCCTCCTCCTCCTCCTCCTCCTCCTCCCTTCCCCAGGACCGGCTTCTCATCCTGAGTCGACTGTTGAGGGTCCCGCTAGGCCCGGTGAGGGCCCGCGGAAGCCGAAACTGGTGCACAAAAACCGTGCTGCGATTTTTTTCCGCAGCGCGAGGGGCTCTGGGGCCTGGGCTTTTGCACCGTGGCGACCGAGGGCCGGGGCACTTGCCGACCCGGCGGCCCCCCGGGGAGGGGCACCGCCGCCCGCGCGCACTGCCACCAGCTTGCCCAGGGACATGGAGAATGTGGCGGCCTCCTGCACCGCCGCCCTCACGGCCTCGTTTGGGGGGCGGAAAGATACGGATACGTGTTGTCCCCGGACCTCTCTTGGGGTGCGTTCTGACCAGAATTTCGAGGCGAATCCAGCGGTGACAACGAGGATTCCCCAGGAGGACCAGGAAAGGCCGAAAACGAAGGGGGACAACACGTATCCGAATCTTTTTCTCCCCCGACTCGTCGGGCCGGGCGGGGCAGAGTGCCGCAGCAAGTCGGCCCAGAGGCCGCAGACGCTCCCCCGGACGGGATCGCGCCGTACAGCAATCAGGACGGGAGGTTTTCTGGCCATCTTCGGCCTCGGGGGGCCCATCGCCGGGCCTCGAGGCCGTCAAAACAGACGGCCCAGGGTGAAGCACCGATCCCGGGGAAAGGGCCGGGACTTCCAGGAGCTCCGTGCCGAAAAAAGAAAGACGTCGCACGTCTGGGCAGAGAAGCAGCTTCTGGACTCTTCATTTGCAGCGGACCCGCGGCAGTACGGATGAGCCACCGATGCTGGCAATGCTGCGAAGCGCCAGTGCCTCACTCGCAAGGCAAAAGCTTTTCGTCGAGTGTGGCCGACATGCAGCACATGTACAGCGGCATAAACGTAAACTGTCAGTGGCCTACGCTGATTCGGGTGTTCGGATGAAGTTTTCGGGCACTAGTGTTTTGGAGTTCTGGTGTTCAGGTTTGGGTGTTTGGACTCGGATGTCGGGGTAATGTTGCTCGGGTTGGGGTGTTCGGGCTTCGGTGGCTGAGTTCGGGTTGGGATGCCAGCGTTAACGTGTACGCTACGGTGTCAGGGTTCTGGCGTTCAGGTTGGGATGTTCGGCCCCACGAGAGCCTCAAGATGCCCCCAAGAGAGATCGGGATGCCAAACTTAATGAATTGTCGCGTAGTTGTTGGATACATTTCAACGTGCTCGCATTTTCCAAAACGAAAATGACTCCTCAGGAGGCCCCAGAACGGCCCAAGAATGCTCCCAGACTGCCCAGAAGACGCCTCAAAATGGCTCAAAAAAACAAGCCGAAATCCCACCAGCCCTTTGGGCGTGAGTGGTTTAGAGAGCCCGCTCTGTTCTCAACCCCCCTTCTTCCCCTTCGGGGAGGGGTTTACCCCTCCCCCTGCCCCCTCCCCCTGGGCCTGGAGAGGGCGCCCCGCGGGTGGTCAGAGGGGTCTTTTTCGACTCCTGGGATGGCTAAAAAACGACACCACTCACGAGGATTCTGGCCCCGACGGGGGGAGGGAGAAAAGTGCTCCACTCTTCTTTGAAGCCAAAATCATTGATTTTACTACGGTTTGGGCCCCATTTTGGCCTTCTGAGGGGGCAGCGCTAATTAAAGCTCCCCTCTTCTTTCAAGCCAAAATCATTGATTTTACTAAGGTTTTGGCCCCATGTTGGCCTTCTGAGGGGGCAGCGCTAATTAAAGCTCCCCTCTTCTTTGATCGATTTCCTCCAAGATGGCCCCAAGAAGCGCCCAGGAGGCACCAAGAGGCCCCAAGATGGCCCCAAGAGGCCCCCAGGAGGCCCCCAAGAGGATCCCAAACGGCCCAAAGAGGCCCCCCCGAGGCACCCAAGACGCCGAAAAGCCCATCAGGACGACCCTCTACTCGCCTGGGCGTCGTTTCTGGACGGGCAGGAGGAGGGGCCCGAACGACTCACACCAGGACGAGGGGCCCGAACAACTCACACCACGAGAAGCCCGAACGACTCACACCAGGACGAAGAGCCCGAACGACTCACACCACGAAGAGCCGCGGGAGGAAGGAGGAACAGGGGAGATATGCGGGGGCAGGCGGAAACACGCCTGAAAAACACGACTCTCGGCATGCTTCGCTAGAGTTGCTGTTTTGAGATGGGCTGGTGGGGATACGCGAAGCGTGAAGAATTGACATTTCGAGCCCTTCTCTCAAAGATAGTCGTGGACACTGCCACGGAGCCCCGAAGACGCCATCAAGGCCCTCAAAAGCCCCCAAGAGGCCCTCAGAAACCCTCAAAGCTCCCAGAGCGCTCTCAGGAGCCCCCTCCCGGAAGCCCCACAAGCTCTATCACCCCTCATGAGCTTGATGCGCTATATGACCCTGTATTCCGATCGACCTCGTGAGCCAGACAATTTGTGTTATCCTGATGAACCCTATGAGCCCTACGACACCTACGAACCCCATGAGCCAGACGAGCCTCATGAGCCCTATAAGGCTTATGAGCCCCACGCGCCCTCCAAGAGGCCCCCGAGACCCTCCCCTGCAAGCCCAATGAGCCCAGCCCCATCGGCTCTACGAGCCCATGAGCCCAATGAGCTCCCGAGCCCTGCGACATGACGACCCTTGCGAGCCCTTCGAGCTCTACGAGTCCTACGACCCCTGTCAGCGCTACGAGCTCTCCGAGACCCATCAGTCCCATTTGCCCTGTGAGCCCTACGGCCTCCACGAGTCACATAAGCTCACGAGTGTAATTCGCCCATGACCCCATGATCGTCACGACCTCATGCGCTTTCCAACCCTTACGCGCCCCATGATCTGGACGAACTCATGGGCCCTTCGGCCCCATCCGAGCCCTATCACCCCGACGAGCCCTCTGAGTCTCGTGAGCCCTGTGTGCCCTCTAAGAGGCCCCCCAGACACCTCCCCTAGAAACTCACTGGCGACCTTGCTCCCAAGCGTCCAGTGGACCTGGCGCAATCAGCCCGCGTGGGCTCGATGGGCCCGCTGAACCCCGCGATCACGTCGACGTCCTCAATGCCGCGAGCCCCATGGCCCCTTATGAGCCCTAATGGCCACCAGGAGCCCCATGAGCCTCATGAGCCCTTTGGCACCCATGAGCCATATGAGCCCCATGCGCCCCGTGGCCCCTCCGAGCCCCATTAGCCGGATGACCCCTATGAGCCGCGCGAGCCGCATGGCCCCGATAGGCCGTATCAACCCCATGAGCTTCATGGGCCCTCTGAGCCCGATGTCGCCTGTGATCCCGTGACCTCATGAGGTCTCTGAGTCATGTGAGACAAGCGAGCCTCGTGAGCCCTGCGAGCCCAGTGAGCCCTGCAAGCCCGATGTCGCCCATGAGCCCCTATGAGCCCTGCGAGCCCCTTGAGCTCCATCCGCCCTGCGGGCCCCTCGAGCCGCATGGCCCCAAGGAACCTCCTCAGCCCTACGAGCCGCATGAGCTCCCTGGGCCATGTGAACCCTAAAACCCTCCGACCTGTTGTGAACCCCATAGGCCTTATGAGTACGGTGGGCACAACGACACCCATGAGCCCCATGAGCCTCGTAAGCTCGATGAGCCAGCCTGCCATGGGGCCCAAGAGCCCGCGACTTCTGTTTGACCGAGGGCCCTCCGAGTCTTAGAACCCCAACGAGCTCGCCAGCCCGAGGAACTCCACGTGCCCAATCGCGCCCGCGGGCCCTGGAACCTCGTGATCCCCGTGAGCAGCGCTAGCTGAATTAACCCTCTTCCCAATGAAGGCTCCGAGCCTCCGGGCCCCAATGGCGGCGGAGAAGCCTTTGAGCCCTCCGACCCGAAAGAGCCCGTGGGTCCTGTCAGCCTCGCGTGACCCATGGGCCCTACTGCCGAAGCGCATCGCGGCGCTGGCGTGCACCGGTCGCGGCAGGCCTACCGGTCTCCTGGCTCGAGTGGATCACGGCCCTTGGCCCCGAGAAGGGCCCCGAGAGGGCCAAAACTGTGGGAACAAGACTCAACACACTCGAAAAATCAAACCCTTGCGCTCAGGATCCCGTTTCCTCATGTAGAGGCCTCCACTAGCCCCAGAGCAGACTCGGAGGTCAGCACCGACGACGTCGGGACAGAGAACATCGGACTCGGGATCGCCCCGCATCACCGATGTACAGTCAATCCGTATCATAAGGATGCGCGGTAAGGATACAAGGGCCTTGGAGGCACATGTTAGCGTTTTTCGAACGAGGTTGGCCAGCGAAAACCGCTAGGGATGGGCTCAAGGAGAAAAGATGCAAGGGTGCCCTTGGGAAGGTTGCCCATCCTAACTCCGCGGGCTGACTGTATCGGCAATGCGGCTCCATCCACCGACCCCGCTCTGGAATTCCTCGAGCCAAACGTGTCGACGTCTCATGTTTACTTCCGCCGCCTTCCGCCAAGCTTCCGCCAGCGGGGCCGCCGCCGCTTTACCCCCCTTCTTCCGATGATACCCCCTAAAGTCGCCACGATGGAGGTGTTGCGGTGGGCTCGCAAAAGAACCACCGATATCTCGGCGCTACTCGCATCATTGGAAATCTCAATGCGACTAGAGGTCCGCAGGGGTACCCAAGTCAGATAACAAGCCAAGGAGGCACTAGCACATGCTGCCTTGAAAGCCCGTCACCGAGCGTCGGCTGCTGCCACTTGCGGACGGCTACGGTGAGGGCAGTGGACAAAGAGCCATTGGATAAGGAACCCAGGGTCTCGAAGCCTTTGCAACACGAAATAAGGCTCGGACATGGATGCCACCGCCGCCCTCATCAGATAAGGAATCCTCCAGGGTCTGAAGCCTCCTGGGCACGCTCCTTAACGAACACCGCCGCCGTACTGCGAACCGCAGGCAATCACCGGGGCCCTCATCAGAAAAAAACTCCTCCAGGGAGACGCGAGGGAGGGGAGGCGGGATGGGGAGGAGGAGGGGGGGAGGAGCAGGGGGGGCAGGAGGAGGAGGAGGAGGAGGAGGAGGAGGAGGAGGAGGAGGAGGAGGAGAAACACATCGCACGACATCGCCCAGAAGGCACGGCGGATCCCAAGCCAAGGAGGCCCGGCCCGTGGCGAGCGGGGGCCGACCGGGCCGCCGCGCGGTCCCCCTCCCCGCCCCCCAGCGCCCCGGCGGCGGCGGGAGGTAAAACAGGGCTAGGATCGGGACAAATCGCTCCAGAGCGCTCCGGAGCGCTCCCAGAGCGTTCCGGAACGCTCTGGAGCGGCCGCGGCGCCCAATACATCCTCCAAACCCGCCGATTCTCCGAGATTTCGAGTTATCCCAATCCGATTTTGTCCCGATCTTCGCGTCGTTTTAGGAGGGGGCGCGGCCCCCCTCCGAGGCCGGGCGGCAGGGGCCCCGCGCCTCGGGCGAGGCGCTCGCCGCGCGGCGCATCGCCAGCTCCTGGCCTCGGCGAGGCCGAGGAGCGAGGAGGGGGGGGGGGATCGGGGCGCGAGGGCTCGCGAGAGCAGCCCTGAGGCATCGAGGGTCGAGAGCCTGAGAGCATTGAGGAAGGGGCCCCAGGACACACAAATAAATACACACAAATCAACAGATGTCCCATATTTTCTCATATTTTCTGGGTTTTCGTTTTCCCCCCCACTTCCCATATTTTCCTTTATTTTCCTAGGAGTCGACGATTAATTGTGTGTCTGTGTGTTTTTTCCCCTCCTGAATCGAGGAACCCCGGGACAGGGGGGCCTCCTGGCGTGGGAGGGCGGGCGCGTACGGTCTGCTGCGGGCCCTGGCCTGGCTCGGCCCGTGTCCTCGCCGGATGTCGCCCTGCGCGGCGGTCCGGGGGTCGCAGGATCGAGGAGCGAGGGCTCAGGAAGATCGGGGATCGAGGATCGACGATCGAGGGTTGAGGAAGATCAGGGATCGCGGATCGAGGGCTCAGTAAGATCAGGGAGCCCTGAGATCCTGGCGTTCGGGTTTTGATCACGCCGGGCGATTTCGCTCGGTCTCGGGCCCCTCGGGACCACGACAGGTCGATCCGGCTCGAAGAGTGCCTCAGAAAGGTGAGGTCTGGAGCTTCTCGCGTCGTGGCAAGCATCGGGGCGACACGTTGTGGGCTCGTTGCTGGCCTCTGGGGGCCCTCGGAGGGCACATGTGGGACCGCCAGAACGTGACTGACGCACCTCCCCTGGGCCCCCGAGGAGCGCCAGCAAGAGTCGGGAGAGCCATTCAGGGACGACATGTTCGCGATCGCTAGCCCCAGGGCGAAGGGAAGCGGCTCGCGTGGCACCGATTGGAGGAAAGTAAAGGAACGAAGAATGACATATACGAATACATAGAAACTCGGAGATCCGCGCGGATTTCTCGGATCGGGGCTGGACCCCCCTCCCTGGCGCGCCAGGGGCGGCGCCGGAGGCGCCGCCAGGGGGGTCCCAAAAAAGAGTAGCCCTAGACTGGAGGCCTGGACTCCACCCTTCTGCCTCATTTTTCGAGCCGGATCGATCTGTGATGGTCCCAGGGCCTGGGGAACGCCCTGTGCAAAAACAAAAAACAATGCCTAGACCCCACCCTTCCGCGTCATTTTACGAGCCGGATCGATCTGTGATGGTCCCAGGGCCTGGGGAACGCTCTGTGTAAAAACCAGAAAAAACAATGCCTAGACCCCACCCTTCTGCGTCATTTTACGAGCCGGATCGATCTGTGATGGTCCCAGGGCCTGGGGAACGCCCTGTGCAAAAACAAAAAACAATGCCTAGACCCCACCCTTCTGCGTCATTTTACGAGCCGGATCGATCTGTGATGGTCCCAGGGCCTGGGGAACGCCCTGTGTAAAAACCAAAAAAAAAATGCCTAGACCCCACCCTTCTGCGTCATTTTACGAGCCGGATCGATCTGTGATGGTCCCAGGGCATGGGGAACGCCCTGTGAAAAAACAAAAAAACAATGCCTAGACCCCACCCTTCTGCGTCATTTTACGAGTCGGATCGATCTGTGATGGTCCCAGGGCCCAGGGAGCGCCCAGTGTAAAAAAAATGCCACGCCCGGATCTGAGGGGCCGTCGTTGAGCGCCGGCGGGCCGCAACCAACTGCACGCGGCAAATTTCGCCCCGCCCCCACTCGCGCACCTTCGCACCGTCCTCCTCCTCCTCCTCCTCCTCCTCCTCCTCTTCTTCCGCCTCATCTTCCTCCTCTTCCTCGTCCTCCTCTTCCTCCTCTTCCTCCTCCTCCTCGTCCTCCTCCTCCTCCTCATCATCATCAGCAGCAGCAACATCAGCACCAGCATCAGCATCAGGATCAGCATCATCATCATCAGCATCATCATCATCAGCATCATCATCATCATCATCATCATCATCATCATCATCATCATCATCATCAGCATCATCAACATCATCATCGCCTTCCTGCCCTCCCGCTCACGCACCTTGGCTCCCCTCTCCTCCTCCTCCTCCTCCCTCCTCCTCCTCCTCCTCCTCCTCCTCCTCCTCCTCCTCATCCCTCCTCCTCCTCCTCCGGCCCTGTCCCCCTTCCCCAGAGCTCCCACGCCGCGACCTTGCCGCAGCGCGCCCCCGAGCCCCCCCCCCCCCCCCATTCCTCCACAGAGCTCCGACGTCGCGACTTCTTCGCAGCGCAGGCCCCACTTCCCCGGGGCCACCGTAGCCCAATGGGCCGCCTTTCGCCGCGGTCACAGGGCCGGGTGCGGGCCAGTCTGGAGGCCGAGCACGGCCACACCGCGGCGCGCAGCGGCGGGGGGCCCTACACAGTAGGGGCCCGACCACACGAAACCTTCCACGAGAAGCCCAACCCTGAGACCCCAGGACGTCCATATATTTTTGGTCTGGAACGTCACGCTTCCCATAGCAAAGCCAACGAACACCCAAGAAACCCAGGGCACCCTGGAGGCAAACTTGGTGTTTCTTGGCATGGGTCTCCACTGTATCTTACAAATCCCCCCTTCGAGAGCTCGACCCGAGGGACCCTGACATCCGACGACGTGATGTTTTCAATCCGCGGTCCTGGAGGTCCCGACCGCTGTGCCCGGGGGTTGCTCTTCGCCCAGGCCCACTTTCCATGGCCTTGGGGTACGAAGACAGCCCCCGAGGGCGGAAATCAACAAAAACATAAAGCAACAGATAACATGTAAGCCGGCGTGGACCCCCCACACAGCAGGTTACTACACTGTGGATGTGTAAGCTGTGTGGTGCAAGCGATGTGGTGTAAGCTGTAGAGGGCAGATTATGTTACATGGGATTTTTTCACATTGGATTTTAGAAAAATAGTTAATTCACGAATAAACGTATGCATGAACTCATCGTTGTTTTGAATACTCAACCCCTGCATTGTTGAAAACATGATCCGCACGCGGGGCATGTATTGAAAACGGCACTGCAGGGCGCAGCAGACGTGGTGCGAGCTGGAGGTGGCCACGGGCGGCACCGTGGCGAAACCTCGCCGGACCCACCCCGTGCACGAGGCGGCCGCGAGGCGGCCGCGGGCGGCAGCGGCAGCGTGGCGAAACTTCGCCGGACCCGCCCAGCGGACGAGGCGGCCACGAGGCGGCTACGGGCGGCAGGGTGGCGAAAACTCGCTGGACCTGAGGCGAATAAGAACCCCTGGGTGCAAGCACTGCCAGGGGAAAAAAACCATGCCGTCGAAGGTCGGGGAAAACTGGGTGCAAGCCCTGCTCGGGGGAAGACCATCCTTGGCAAGACGAGTGAGAACCCCAGGGTGCAAGCACTGCCCTGGGAAAAATCATGTCGTCGAAGATCAGTCGGGCGCGAATCCGTGGGGGGGCCGCGAAGACTGCCGCGAAGGAGCCCTCTAGTGGGGCCCCTGGAAGGCCCTCCAGGGCCCCAAACGGGGCCCTCAGGGCCCGAAAAAGTCACCATCACCCAGACCCCCGACGACGTGACTTTGTTGGCAAACGTCGACCCCGGCCAAAGAAATGGCCCCCTGAGCCCGAAAAAGTTAGATAAACCCTCCCGTCGTGACTTTTTCACAACGCGAGGGGTTCTGGGGAGGAGAAGGAGGAGAAGGAGGAGGAGGAGGAGGAAGAGGAGGAGAAGGAGAAGGGAGGAGGAGGAGAGGAGGAGGGAGGAGGAGGAGGAGAAGGAGAGCAGGAAGAGGAGGAGGAGAAGGAGAAGGAGGAGGAAGAGGATGAGGAGGCGAAGGAGAAGGAGGAGGAAGAGAAGAAGAAGGAGAAGGAGGAGGAGGAGGAGGAGGAGGAGGAGGAGGAGGGGGGCGAGAGGGTCTGGGATTCACTTGCGCCCGGATCTGGGGGAGCCCTGAGCCCACCGCACAGCCTCCGGAGCACCTGCAGGTGGCGCACCGCCGTCGACCTCGGGTGGGGCGGGGGGCACACGGCCCCGCCAGGCGGCCCAGGAGGCGAAGCCTCTCCTGGCACCTCCGGGGGCGCCTTCGCTCGAGGGGGTCGCGAGGACGCTCGAGCCTCCTCCTCGAGGAGGCTCGAGGATCCTCCTCGAGGAGGCCCGAGGATCGCGAGGAGGCTCGAGGAGGATCGCGAGGAGGGTCGCGAGGAAGCTCGACTTGCTCCTTCGCCCTGAGATCCGGCCCGGGCGTAGCAATTCTTCCACACTGGGTCTTTTTCGCCCGTCTTCGGGCCCCGGGACCATCACAGATCGATCCAGCTCGAAAAGTGCCGCAGAAAGAGGGGGTCCAGGGCTCCTGTCGTGACTCTTAGCGATGAAGCATTTTGTTGGCAACGTCGGATCACAGGCCACCGCAAGCACGCCACCTGCAGATAGCACCGATGCGTTACTCACAAAAATGTCGAAGGTCGAGGTGGTTCGAGGATCGAGCATCGAAGGGAGGCTCGAGGATCGAGGAGGTGCGAGGAGCGAGCATCGAGGGGAGGCTCGAGGGGCGAGGAAGCTCGAAGGCCTAGCATCGAGGGGGAGCTCCAGGACCGAGGGTCGAGGAGCATCGAGGATCGAGGGAGCCGGCGCCCCGCCGCTGCCGCGGGACGGCGACGGCGCCAACAATCGCACTGTGGGCACGGTCGGGCCGGGCGGGGGGGATCAGGCCAGGATCGGGTCGTCGGGGGCGGCCAAGCGGGGGGCGTCCAAGAGAGGGGGGGGCGCAAATCATGGCCAGCGGCATGTGCGCGGAACCCTTCCAGACGAGGACTTTCAGGCCCTCCCCCCCCCGAGACCAGCCGTGAGCGGGCGGCCTTTTGCCCAGACCCCTCAGAACCCTCCAAGGCAGCTCGCGCAGCCGGTACCGAGTCAGCTCGCGGAGCCCACGTCGCCCTGGCCTCCCCACGGCGCCAGAGGCGTCGCGCGGCGGTGCCGCAGCCTGGCGCACGCAGCTTTCGCAACCCCCGCATCTCCTAATTCCGCCCCACTGGTGCGCCGCTGCCGTCGACGCCGTCGCCGTCGGCGTCGCCACCGCTGGCGCCGTCGTCCCCGAGGAATCCGCAAAGACCGTCGTCATCGTCGCCGCCGTCATCGTCGCCGTCGTCGTCGTCGTCGTCGTCGTCATCGTCGTGGTCACTGCCGTCGCTGTTATCGTCGTCGTCGTCGTCGTCGCAGGTGCGTCCTCCTCCTCCTCCTCCTCCTCCTGCTCCTCCTCCTTCCCCTCCTCCTCCCCCTCCTCCTGTTCCTGCTTGTCCTCCTTTTCCTTCCTGCTCCTCCCTCCTCCTTTCCTCTCCTCCTCCTCCTTCTCATACTAGACCTTCTCGGTCTCCTCCTCATCCTTCTCCTCCTCCTCCTCCTCCTCCTCCTCCTCCTCCTCCAACCCCCACTCATCCATTATCCTCCCATGCTCCTCCTCCTTCTCCTCCTCCTCCTCCTCGTCCTCCTCCTCATTCCTCTTTTCCACTTTCCACTTCATCATCCCTCCCCCTCCTCCTCCTCCAGCCCTGCTCTTCATTCCTCTTTCCTCCTCACCCTCCGTCCGTTTTCTCCATCCTCCATCCTCCGTCCTGTATCCTCAATCCTGTATCCTCCATCCTGTATCCATCCTCCATCCTCCATCCTCCTTCTCCATCCTCCATCCTCCATCCTCCCTTCCTACATCCTCCTTCCTGCATTCATCCTCCATCCTCATTTCTCCATCATCCATCTTCCATCCTTCATCCCCGATCCTCCATCAGTCTTCCTCCATGCTCCGTGCCCCATGCTCCATCGTCCTCCTCCTCCTCCTCCTTCACGGCCTCCATCCTCCATCCTCAATCCTCCGTCCTCCATCATCCAGCACTCTTCCTCCTCCTCCTCCTCCTCCTCCACCTGCATCCTGCGTCCTATATCCTTCTCCTCCTCCTCCTCCTCCTCCTCCTGCTCCGCCTCCTCATTCTCCTTCTCCTCGACCTCCACCTCCTTCTCCTCCTGCTCATCCTCCTCCTCTTCCTCCGCCTCCTCCTACTCCTACTCCTACTCCTACTCCTGCTCCTCCTCCTCCTCCTCCTCCTCGTCCTCCTTCCTCCTCCTCCTCCTCTTCCTTTTTGGGAGCCAACCGCCGTACCTATCCAGCTTAGCGCCGTAAAGATTATCCGCAACCGTGCCTCTGGGCACGGAGTGGGCGTGTCCTCAGGTCCTTTGCCTAATCTCTGGAGCCTCAGTCTTCCGTCCAGAGGAGTCGTTAAAGTGGCCCGGACCCCGATTTCCGAAATTTCCTGGGGCTTCCCGCGCTTCCTCTGGAATCCCCGGCGTGTCCCCTGGGCCCCGTCGCATCTTGTCGCATGACTTCTTCGGGCCCAAGAGGGCCCCAAGACGGGCCAAGAGGGCCCCAAGAGGCCTGCAAGACGGCTTAAGAGGGCCACGAGTCGACGAACGATCGCCCCAAGACGCCCAAGATGGCCCGAAGACGGCCCAAGATGCCCCCAAGACGCCCCAAGATGCCTCCAAGAGGCCTCCCAAGAGTCAAACATTATTGATTTTCTCTTGAAAGATTTGGGCGTTCTCGCCTTTTCGTCCTTGCGACGCTTCAAGACGCCAAAGAGGCCCCCAAGACCACCCCAAAACGGCCCAGGAGGCCTGCAAGACGGCCACAAGACGGCCTAAGAGTGCCCCGAGACGGCCCAAGAGGCGCCCAAGACGGCCGAAGAGGACCCCAAGACGGCCCCCAAAGGGGCCCCGAAAAGGAAACACGAACCGAAAATCCGAGCCTTTCGCCCCAAGGTCCCCAAGAAGCGCCCAGGAGAACCCCAGAGGCTTCCGAGAGGCCCCAAAGAGGCCCCCACGAGGCACCCACGAAGCTCAAAAGAAGCGCAAAGAGGCGCCAAAACGGTCCCCAAGAGGCTTCAAAACTACCTCCAAGAGGCCCCCGAGAGGACCCCCACTAATTCCCAACGAACATCCAGCAGGCTTCATACCCACAACCCAGGTGGCGGGATGGGCCGAAGGCAATCAGAAATACAGAAGTACAAACTAGTCTCTAATATTCTGAAATCCGCGGGAGTCTTAGACAGAGCGATAGTCGACACCGAGAGTGGCTCGAGTCCACCGCAGGATTCGAATCCACTAACAGGGGATATGTCGACCCCTATCCCAGGCTTCGTGGGGTTTCCGAATGGGCCGACAATGTTGGGCCCAACCCTGGGATATACGAACGGTGGGGGCGTCCTTCCTCGATAAGGGTGCGTCCGAATAGCTCCTTTGGGGTGCACCCCAGGGTTTCCCTCCTCGTCTGAGCAGCCTCACGTTTCGTCGAAGTCGGAGGCTGGGGGAGAAAAGCCGCCTGCGACCCCCGCCTAGACCCCCGCCCACGTGGTGGAGGAAGAGGGGGACGAATTTCCCCCCGCCAATGTAAGAGTCGTACAGGGTCTTACAGGCCGGGGGATTGTGGAGTCACTCGGGGTTCCGCAGGGGTTATCGTAGGCTTTTCCCTCTTTTTGGTTATGAGCCTTATGTATAAATCACTATCTCTCTATTTGCTTGTCTCTCTCTCTCTCTCTTTCGTTTTGTCATTCTTTTATTGTTTTGATTACCTCTTCTCTCTCGCTGAATCTATACCGTCATTATGCTAGCCCCTTTACTAAACAGCGTGCTGAGGGTTCTATGAGAAAGCATCACAAAGCGATTCCGTTGGAAAGCCGACTGGGGGCTTCTATAGGAAAGCATCACGGCATAATCCCGTTCGAAAACGCGGCAACGATATTCTATGGCCTCGCAGCAGGAAGCCGCTGGGAATCATTACCAAGGGATGAGATTGGAAAGCCTCATATTCGGAGCTGTTAGGAAAACACTGCTGAAAGCTTCTATGCGAAAGCATCACGAGATGAATACTTTGGAAAGCGCCACACACAGATTTAATGGGAAAGCCTCACACTCGGAACTCCGTGCGAAGTGCTACACAAGGGTCCAATTGGATGGCCTCACAACAAGGATCGTGGGGAAAGCGCTACAAACACATTCGGTTCGACACAATCATACTCATAACCCTTCGAAGAGCGTTCCGGGGGGACCCTGTGGGAGAAACCTTACAACTGGAATCCTGCGGAAGAGAAATTCAGAAAGCTTGCATGGGAAGGCCTCACACCAGAGATCCTTTGGACAGCGCAAAGAAAGGATGTTTTGGAGCGCCCGCAACAGGAACCCTTCGGAAAGCACCCCACATGGTTTCTGTGGCCTCGCAGCAAGAATCTGCTCGGAACCCTTACACAGAGGATCCGAATGGAAATCATCATAAACAACACCGCTGAGAAAGCATTTCTGAAGGCTTCTATTGGGAAACATCACAAGAGGAACCCTTTCGAAAACACCCCCAAAGAATTGATTGAACAACCTCGGGCTTGGAACATTGTGCGACTTGTCTGGCATCACAACAAGGATCCGGTGGAAAATGCTACAACACACATCCTGTTAGACACCATCATACGCATAACCGTTTGAAAAGCGTTACAGGGGGACCCTGTGGGGGAAACCTTACAACTGGAATCCTGCGGAACAAAAATCAAAAAGTTTGTACGGGAAGGCCTTACACCAGAGATCCTTTGGACAACACAAAGAAAGGATGTTTTGGAGCGCCCGCAACAGGAATCCTTCGGATAACACCCCACATGGTTTCTGTGGCCTCGCAACAGGAATCTGTTCGGAACCATTACACACAGGATCAGATTGGAAAACATAATAAACAGCACCGCTTACAAAGCATAGCTGAAGGTTTCTCTTGGAGAACAGGAACCTTTACGACTTGTATGGCCTCACAACAGGGATCCTTTGGAAAGCGCTGTAGGACAACACACACACATTCTGTTAGAAACAACCACATTCGGAATCCTTTGGAAAGCGCACCAAGAGGATTGTGTGGGGAACGATCATCTGGAACCATTTTGGGAAGGACTCTAGCAAGTTTTACCGGACGGCCTCGCAGTACAGAT